AGAAGACAAAAACCCAACATCATTGGGAAGATCAAATGCACATAAGCAAAGGACCCCTTCCTCTCTTGCAGCAGGAATCAAAAAGTTCTCTCGCACTCAAGCCGGGGGTTTGTTCTGCACACAATCACAATCTGCTCACAAGAGAAGACAAAAACCCAACATCATTGGGAAGATCAATTGCACATAAGCAAAGGACCCCTTCTTCTCCTGCCGCAGAAATCAAAACGTTCTCTCGCACTCGAGCCGGGGGTTTGTTCTGCACACAATCACAATCTGCTCACAAGAGAAGACAAAAACCCAACATCATTGGGAAGATCAAATGCACATAAACAAAGGACCCTATCGTTACCCAACAACAGATATCAGAACGTCCTCTCACACTCGAGCTGGGATTCGAACCCAGGACCTTCTCTTTAGGAAAGAGACGCGCTATTCCACTGCGCTACACGAGCTTGCTGCGCTGCTGACCCTCCAAAATAAGAAATAATAACATTATTATATTTGCCGACATTCCGCTATCACCAGAAGGAAGAAAACAGAAGTGGGATGCACGCCAAGCCCTGCGTGCCTCACCAGATGATCCGGAGGGAAAAGGGCCTTACTTCAAGTTGGTGATTCCAGGAAAGCTACTTCATCAAAACTGGATAAACATGGTCAAAATTTTTCCCATGTGTCAAAGAAGATCAACATCCCTCAACAAGTGATAGAAGGGCCCCTTGAGCTGGCCCAAATTTCGTGAAGGCGTGTCCTGGATTGAAAGGAGACATTTGGTTTGAAAGAGTCCCATTAATCAACAGTGGCCCTATTCTCGATTTTTCTATGCTTTGTATAGTAAGGTGGTGGCCCTATTCTCGATTTTTCTATGCTTTGTATAGTAAGTTTCACCTACACCTTGTAGAAAAAGGTGAACGGAAACAGCTTAGGTGTTAATATGTTCGCGGAAGACATTTTGTGGAAGACATTTTTCATTCAAATTGTTTTTGCATCTTGGGTCCCGGGATTTCTGGAACCTATCATACTTAATTTGTTTTGCCGAGTATGTCTATTTCCTTTTTCAATTTTCTTACGTTTCTTCAGTAGAGTTAGGCAGGAGCCTTGTGTTGCAAAAACCCTCTAATTTGTCAGAGGGGGCTAACTGGCCAATTTGCCAGACATGCTCTTCCTTGCATTTCCCAAGTCTAGCCATGCCAACCATTATCATCATCATTATTATTACTATTACTATTATTATTATTATTATTATTATTATTATCATTATTATCATTATTATCATTATTATTATTATTATTATTATTATTATTATTATTATTATTATTATTATTATTATTATTATTATTATTATTATTATTATTATTATTATTATTAT